GACCGCTGAGGCCCGAGGGGGGGGGGGGGTAGGGGTGAAGGGAGGTGCCTTTGCCCGTCAGTGCCCTGGGAGGCCTGCCCCGTCCGAGGGGCTCGCTAGACCTGTTGCCATTCCCACCGTCTCAAGCGTCCGGGTCTCCCACGCTGAGACACGGGCAACAGGCCTGAGTGCTGTGTGAGGTTTGTGAGTTGGGTCTCCGGGGGGAGGGGAGGGGGCCCTGACGTGGTTGTGGAAGGAAGTTCAGACCCCAAATACAGGACCCTGCTCCTGTGCCGGGGCTTCTGGGAGAGGGAGCGTTGCCAAGTGGAGCGGGACAAAAATAATGCCCCTGTGTGCAGAAGTCTGTTTTGGGGACGCGGACACCACCCTGTCCCTTCCCCGAAGAGAAGGCCTGGCTCCCTACTTGCATGTGTGTGTGTTTTTTAAGGGCTGCTTTCGGGAAGTTGATGTCCTTTGTCAGTTGATGTGGAACAGGTGAGGGGCTGCCTCCCCCCCCCCTTAGGCATAAATTACACGTCCCTGTGGGATCAGACGGGGCATTTCCCCACCCCACCCCAGCGGTGCTACAAAAAGATTATACGGTTCCTTTCTCACAAAGTGTGCAGCCGCATGGATCTGTGCGACCTTTTCGTGAGCCAAGGGGAAGTTTGTTTTTATTTCAGTAAGCGTTGTTGTTGTTTTACCCTGCGTGTCTCCCCAGCAGGGACACAAAACCCCTTTTAAAAAATGGCAAAAATACGGTTTAAGTAAAGAGAAAAACCAAGAGTGCCACAGAGCCCAACGCGGGCTAGGCCTGGACCGGCTGGCCTGACACCCTTTGCTTCTTGCTCTTCAGTTCATGCCAAAGACTCTCGCCTCTGGCCACGCTCCGGCTAGATCCCTGCATGAGAGGAGAGAGAGGCATTTAGCCTGGCTGCCTCTTGTTTGGCTGGCGAAGAGATGATTCAAAGAAATGTCGGGGGTTTGGACGGCTTGTGTTCTTTTGGCGCGTGTGCCTTTGGGGGTCAGGGGATCTTTTGGGTGCCGGTCCTGGGGGCTAGAAGTTTGGCAGGGATGCGTGATGCTGGCTATCTGTTTGCGGGGTTTTGGGGTTCATGTGGATCCTCTGCCTGTGGATTTGAAGGGAATTGTGCACGAGGAGTCCGGTGTAGCATTTCGGTTTTCAGTCCTCGGGAAACAGCCCTAGAACCTTCGAGCTTCATTTATCCTGGATCTTTCCCATTAGTGAAACTTAAATCGCCAACCTCAAGGGTCGTCGTTTAAATGACTGGCCAGGATTCAGCCACCCTCCTTGTTTGGTGTAGTGGTAAGGAGCACGGACTCTAATCTGGGAGAACCGGGTTTGATTCCCCACTCCCCCCCCACATACAGCTGCTGGTGTGACCTTGGGTCAGTCACAAGTTCTCTCAGAGCTGTTCTCTCACGAGCAGTCCTCGAGAGAGCTCTCTCAGCCCCACCTACCTCTCAGGGTGTCTGTTGTGGGGAGGGGAAGGGAGAGGAGATGGTAAGGCACTCTGAGACTCCTTCGAGTAGTGAGAGGGGGTATAAATCCAATTTCTTCTCCTTCTCCTCCTCCAATACCCCATCGCCCCAGAGCACATGACTCTGGATGGTCCCCTGACCACCAGGGATGTCTTGTGGGAGGGGAAGTCGGGGGAAAGCCCCAGTGGGCAGCAGAAATCCGACACAAGGCCCTTTGGGTACCAGCCACGGCCCACTGGGATGTCAGCCTGCGTTTGAAGATTCCGGGTTGGCCTCTGGATCTTCCAAAAGGGGTAGACACCCCACTGTAGCTCCGTCTTCCACTCTGGCGGTCTTCGTGCCCTTTATATGGTTTTTCGGGCACATCCACCCACCAGCCAGTCCTGCAGTGTGTCTGGGTGTCTGGGAAGTGTTGACGGGCCAGATGTGGTCCCGGATGCCATGTGCCCCTCTCGGGGCTTGGGCGATGAAAGAGAGGCAAGGAGGTGCGCGGCATATCCACTTCGCAGAATGTGGGCCACCTCTTGATCTCTCGCAGTGGAGTCCAGCGGGCCGGCCTGCCAGACTTTTGGATGAATGTGAAATTAAAAACAAACAGCACGGTCAGGGCATGTAATCGCAGCCACTCCGGCAGTAAACAGATACAAAGGCCCCGAGGAAACATCCGCCGTAAGGAGTTAGAACAATCCATCCTACTGCACCAGAGAAGGAAGAAGAAGAGAAGATTGGATATATACCCCGCCCTTCACTCGGAGTCTCAGAGCGGCTCACAATCTCCTTTCCCTTTCCCTTCCCCTCCCCACAACAAACACCCTGTGAGGTAGGCGGGGCTGAGATAGCTCTTTCCAGAACTGTCCTTGAGAGAACAGCTCTAAGAGTACTATGGCTTGCCCAAGGTCACACCAGCAGGTGCAAGTGGAGGAGTGGGGAATCAAACCCGGTTCTCCCAAATTAGAGTCCGCGCACTTAACCACGACACCAAACTGGACAAGAAAGAAAGAAAAGAAACTTAACTGCTGTCTCCTGTAACCCTTCTGGTCTTCAGCACGGCGTCTTTTGGTTACTGATAACCTAATTGTGCCCCTCCCATTTCAACTGCTGCATCTTGTCAGTTCACATGCAGCTGCTGGGTGACCTTGGATCAGTCACAAGTTCTCTCAGAGCTGTTCTATCAGGGGCAGGTCTCAAAGAGCTCTCTCAGCCCCACCTACCTCACAGGGTGTCTGTTGTGGGGAGGGGAAGGGAAAGGAGATTGTGAGCCACTCTGAGTAAAGGGCAGGGTAGAAATCTAATCTCTTCTTCTTCTTCTTTGCAATTCGGTTTCTTCCCTTTCTTGTCCTTCCCCAGTAAATCCAGGTGGGTCCTCTTTGACTTCCATGCAGACGGGGAAACCCAGGGTGAAAAGTTTGGATCCTGTTCTAAGAATAGAGCCAGTGGGTTTCAGCTTACAGAGAACAAGAGAGGGAAATGGGGTGTGTGGGTTATCCTCTTCTTAGCCCAATCCATGCTTTAAAATTTGGCAGACTTTTGAAATGCCTGCGCCCCTTGTTGCGGCTACAGCAGCACTGCCCTTGTGCCGTTCCCCCAAATCTTTTGTGAAAAGTAAAGGGTGAGAGGATTGTACCTAAATGTGCAAAGGGAGGGTCCAGGGATCGTGGCCAGCCGGGCTCCTTAGTACTTGCGGAAGTCCGCTCTGACCTTTTGCGGAAACTGCAGCAGCCAATGTGATTGGCTCAGTGGAGCAGCCTCCGCTTTGTACACAGGTGTTCCCAGGTTCAATCCCCACCGTCTCCAGTTCGAGAGGACCAGGCAGCAGGTGACGGGAAAGACCTCTCTGCCTGAGACCCTGGAGAGCGGTTGCCAATCCGAGCAGACAATCCTGACCTTGATCGACCCCGTATAAGGCCGCTGCATCTGCCTGTGATTAGTGCCTGGAGCGACTCAAAAGATCTCCAACTGCGAGGTCAACTGTCGGCCTTCTCCTTGGGCACTGGGCCATTAGCGGTCAAGCCACGCTGGGCAACGTGTTCGCCCTCAGCAGTGTGACGGCCCCTCCCTCCCCACTTGGTCTTCCCCTCCCGAATCTGCCGCCGCCAACTCCCCTTTGGACCTTTGCTTCTGTTTACGCGGCTGTAAACGCCGGCTCTGGGCCTTCCTCTCTCTCTCTGAATTCCTTTCTGGCTGTCTCAGACTTTCCCCCAAGCCTCACTCCAGCCTAGACGTGATCCCGGCCCAGGTCTGATCCTCTGACAGCGTTTCTGTGAGTCCCTGGCACCGCGAAGGGTGGGGAGGCAGAGGGCGTGGGGAGGAAGGATTAAGACAGTCTTGCGAGGACGACGGGCTCCAGTGGTGGCCCAGGTATCAGGAGAAGCAGGAAGAATGCTGGGTGGTTCTCTAGGTGGGCCCCCCTGGGTTAATTAAGTTGTCGCAAGGAGCGCCTCGCCCCGAGAAAGGGCTCCGGTTTCTGGATTAAGCCTTTCGGGAAGAGCACATCAAGCGCCGACATGGGCAGACGGTGCCAACTCAGCCAGCAGGGTGAGGGAGAATCTGTTTCCCTGTAGGGTGATGGAGGGATGCCAGCCTCCAGGTGGGGCCTGGGGATCCTCCGGAATTACAGCTCATCTCCAGACTACAGAGATCATAGAATGTTGGAGCGGGAAGGGACCTTGCAGGTCATCTAGTCCAGCCCCCTGCACTCTGCAGGAGCACAGCCGAAAGACGGCCCTCCAACATACCCGAAAGAGGGCCGTCCAGCCTCCGCTTGGAAACGTCCAGCAAAGGAGCCTCCACCCCCTCCCGAGGCAGTCTGTTCCACTGCTCAACCACTCTTGCAGTCAGGAAGTTTCTCCTGATAGTTAGCCGGTATCGACTCCCTCGTGATTCCCACCCATTAGATCGAGTCTTGCAATCCGGAGCAAGAGAGAAGAGATCCGCTCCATCGTCTACATGACGGTCCTTCAAATACTTAAGGGGGCAATCCTGTCCCCTCTAAGCCTTCTCTTTCCCAGGCTAAACAGACCCAACTCTCTCGGCCTTTCCTCGTAAGACTTGGATCCCAACCCTCTCACCCTCCTGGCTGCCCTCTTCTGGACACGCTCGAGCTGGTCAACCTCAGTTGTTCCCCCGGAGGAAATGGCTGCTTTGGAGGGTGGACTCTGGGGCCTTGTGCCCCACTGAGGTCCCTGCCCTCCCCAGGCTCCATCCCCACGTCTCCAGGAGGTTCTGTGTTCAGTGCCAGCCCCCCGGACGTCTCCGTAGGAAACAAGGGGTGAGCTGGTTCCTGTTGGGGAGATTGTTGGTTGGGTCTGAACGGCGTGGCCGTCGTGGTTTGTGGAGAACTCACACGGAGAAGGGAGGCTTGGCGTAGTGGTTAGGAGTGCAGACTCTAAACTGGGAGAAGTGGGTTTGATTCCCCACTCCTCCTCCATGCAGCCAGCTGGGTGACCTTGGGTCAGTCACAAATTCTCTCAGAGCTGTTCTCTCAAGAGCAGTCCTCGAAAGAGTTCTCTCAGCCCTGCCTACCTCACAGGCATTGTTCCCTCTAAGCTGAGTTGGTTACACAGTTTTTTAGCTTCCAGCTCACACGTTTTTGTCTTAGGTCAGGAAGGGATGGCTCCAGAGCAAACGAATTGATGCAGCAGCCAAATCACTCGTTCACAACTTTAATGCCAGAACCTCACAAAGGAGAATTTTTGCTCACAAGATTTCACAGCTCAGAGGGAGCATTGTTCACAGGATGTCTGTTGTGGGGAGGAGAAGGGAAAGGAGATTGTGAGCCATTCTGGGACTCCTTCGTGTACTGAAGAGCAGGGTATAAATCCAATCTCCTCTTCCTCCTCCTCCTCTTCTTCTTCCTCCTCCTCCTCCTCCTTTCTTCCCAAGCCCTCCTCCATTTTGTCTTTCCTCTCCCCTCCAGCCGGTGGCCTCCGGATGCCCGAGGGTGGGTTCCTGCCGCCCACCCCGGCAATTAGCTGGTCTAGTCCGGCCCATCCTGAGTTGCAGAGAGGAGTCGAGCCCTGGAGGCGGTTTGGAGCTGCCGGCCGCAGGGGCCTCTCCTCTTGCAAGCGGCCAGCCTCCAGGCTGACCCCGTTGGGATGGGCCACCCACACATGGCCCTGGGGGCACTCCACTCCGAAGCCACAGGAATCTTTGGCATGGCGCACTTGGTGGTTGTCCAGCACGTTCACAGTCTGCCTGATGAGCGGCAATGGATTCTGGGACGGACTCGACCCTTCTGCCTCCGAGTATTCCTTTAGAGCAAACGCTCCCTTTCCTCCTTCAAGGGATGCTCACCCTGTCTGCCTGGCATGGCCACCTCTTTCCTTGCTCCAGTGGTTCTGGAGTGGCTCCTGGGACCAATGTTCCCTCTAAGCTATGGAGTCTTGTGAGCAAAAATTCTACTTTGTGAGCTACTGGCATTAAAGTTGTGAGCGAGCAATTTGGCCACTGCATTAAATCAGTGTGCTCTGGAGCCCATCCTTCCTGAGCTGAGAAAAAAATCTGTGAGCCAGAGGCTAAAAAACTGTGAGCTACCTCACACTAACTCAGCTTAGAGGGAACACTGCCCAGGACCTCCTGAGTTCCAGCAGCTGGGTCAGCGAAGCCGGATATGGGAATTCGGCTCCCTGCCAGGGTTCCCTCTAAGCTGAGTTAGTGTGAGCTAGCTCAACAGTTCTTTTAGCCTCCGGCTCACACACTTTTGTCTTGGCTCGGGAAGGAGGGGGCTCCAGAGCCAACTAATTTCTGCAGCAGCCCAATCGCTCGCTCACCACTCTAATGCCCCGGTAGCTCACAAGGTAGAATTTTTTGCTCGCAAGACTCCACAGCTTAGAGGGCGCCTTGGTCGTGACCCCAGTTAAGGTCAAGGGACGGTTGGAGTGACTGGGAGAGAAACCCCTTGGGCTTTGGGGGTCTCCGGGGAGGATTTTCTTTGTAACCCACTGTGGTTGGGAAATCGTGGGGGAGGGGTGCCAGGCAGGCAGGCAGGCTGGCCACTGGACGAGGAGGGTCTGGAGCCACTTGGAGGTCCTTTCCGCACTAGACCGTAAATCCTGGTTCAACCCTCTCCCCAGATTTACATTCTACACTACACGCAAGTTCACCCCTGTCATTGTCTCGGGGTATTTTTTGCTTCCACACTACATTGAGGTTTCGCCCCACGCTCGTCCCGGGATAAACGGATGCCGTTACAACCAGGGATAAACGCAAGGTAATTGTGTCGCGAGTTGAACTCGCGTGCGTTGAACTCGGACAAAACCAGGGATGAGATCCGAGTGCGGAAAGGACCAAAGAGGTCTTCTTCTTTTTTAATTTAAAGATTTTTATTGTTTTTAGACAAAAGGTTAACAGTAAAATCGAGGACAGTGTAAAATTATGCTTAAATATACATCTTAACATATGTAAATTTTGCATATTTTCAAGTAATTATGTTCAGAATTGCTTCTTTTTGATGGTAAATGGTTTTCTGCCAGGAAGAGATCCTGCCTGAGCCTGACCCACAGGAAGCTGCCTTATATACTGAGTCAGCCCCTCGGTCCACCAAGGTCAGTCTTGTCTACTCAGATTGGCAGCCGCTCTGCGGGGTCTCAGGCGTAGGTCTTTCCCATCACCCCCTGCCTGGTCCTTTTTAACGGGAGATGCCGGGGACTGAACCTGGGACCTTCTGCATGCCAAGCAGAGCCTCTGCCACTGGGCCACACAGCCCCTTGCCATCAAGGTCAGTATTGTCTGCTCAGACTGGCAGCAGCTGTCCAAGGTCTGAGGCGGAGGTCTTTCCCATCACCTGCTGCCCAATAATTTAGCTGGAGATGCCGGGGATTGAACCTGGGACCTTCTGCGTGCCAAACACAGGCCTGCCACTGAGCCACAGCCCCTCCCCAAATGTTGACAAGCCGTGTAATAGCCGTGGCTGAACCTGAACTTCTGCTTTCCTGTCTCAGCGGCTTTCTGTGTCCTCCCTGGGGTTGGGGGGAGCAGGTGGGCGGCTGTTTCATGTTGCCAGGAGCCCCTGCTGCACAGCCTGCATTCGAAAGCTGTGCTTTTGTGCAGCCTTGCCATCAAGGTCAGTATTGTCTGCTCAGACTGGCAGCAGCTGTCCAAGGTCTGAGGCGGAGGTCTTTCCCATCACCTGCTGCCCAATAATTTAGCTGGAGATGCCGGGGATTGAACCTGGGACCTTCTGCGTGCCAAACACAGGCCTGCCACTGAGCCACAGCCCCTCCCCAAATGTTGACAAGCCGTGTAATAGCCGTGGCTGAACCTGCTTTCCTGTCTCAGTGGCTTTCTGTGTCCTCCCTGGGGGTGAGGAGAGCAGGTGGGCGGCTGTTTCATGTCGCCAGGAGCCCCCCCTGCACAGCCTGCATTCGAAAGCTGTGCTTTTGTGCAGCTCCCCAGCACCAGGGTCTAAGAGGGAGGGAGGAGGGCCACCGTTGCATCTCTGTCTGCTGCCGGCTTTACATATGCCGGCCTTCATAGTGCTGGCGTCATGATTCCAGGAAATGAATGGTGGGCCTGGAGGAGGAGGAGAGATTGGATTTATACCCCGCCCTTCACTACCCGAAGGAGTCTCAGAGCAGTTTGCAATCTCCTTTTTCCTTCCCCTCCCCACAACAGACACCCTGTGAGGTCGGTGGGGCTGAGAGAGCTCTTTTGAGGACTGCTGTTGAGAGAACAGCTCTGAGAGAACTTGTCACTGACCCAAGGCCACACCAGCAGCTGTATGTGGCGGAGGAGTGGGGAATCAAACCCGGTTCTCCCAGATTAGAGTCCGCGCTCCTAACCCTACACCAAAGAGGGACCTTCATTATTTGGGGGAAGGCTTTGGTGCCAGCACTGCCTCTTTGGGCACCCCGTGAACTGGACTGGCCGTGCCCTTTCCTTCGTGCTCCTCTGGAATCTGTGTTGGTGCGAAGTGTCTTGGCTTTGGGACACAGAAGCCGGTTGCTGGAAGGTGGCGGCTCTCTCGATTACAGCCTGCCCTAAACGTGCAGCCGGTGTTTATTCTAGTGAACACCTTTTAACTAAACAGAGAGGGAGAGGAGCAAAATTTGAGGCCAGTGGCATGCATCGGACTGATAACTTTCATTTCAAGATGGGTAGCTGCTGTGTCAGTCTATCTGGAGCAGTAGAAAAGAGCCAGAGTCCAGCAGCACCTTGAAGACGAACAAAATATGTGGCAGGGGAGGCGCTTTCGTGAGTCGCCGCTCACTTCTTTCACTCGTTTCAGTGTGTTTGAGGAAGTGTGCCTGCACCCGAAAGCTC